ATAGTCTAGTCTATAGTCTAGTCTATAGTCTAGTCTATAGTCTAGTCTATAGTCTAGTCTATAGTCTAGTATAGTCTAGTCTATAGTCTAGTCTATAGTCTAGTCTATAGTCTAGTCTATAGTCTAGTCTATAGTCTAGTCTATAGTCTATCTATATCTAGTCTATAGTCTAGTCTATAGTCTAGTCTATAGTCTAGTCTATAGTCTAGTCTATAGTCTAGTCTATAGTCTAGTCTATAGTCTAGTCTATAGTCTAGTCTATAGTCTAGTCTATAGTCTAGTCTATAGTCTAGTCTATAGTCTAGTCTATAGTCTAGTCTATAGTCTAGTCTATAGTCTAGTCTATAGTCTAGTCTATAGTCTAGTCTATAGTCTAGTCTATAGTCTAGTCTATAGTCTAGTCTATAGTCTAGTCTATAGTCTAGTCTATAGTCTAGTCTATAGTCTAGTCTATAGTCTAGTCTATAGTCTAGTCTATAGTCTAGTCTATAGTCTAGTCTATAGTCTAGTCTATAGTCTAGTCTATAGTCTAGTCTATAGTCTAGTCTAGTCTAGTCCATAGTCTAGTCTATAGTCTAGTCTATAGTCTAGTCTATAGTCTAGTCTATAGTCTAGTCTATAGTCTAGTCTATAGTCTAGTCTATAGTCTAGTCTATAGTCTAGTCTATAGTCTAGTCTATAGTCTAGTCTATAGTCTAGTCTATAGTCTAGTCTATAGTCTAGTCTATAGTCTAGTCTATAGTCTAGTCTATAGTCTAGTCTATAGTCTAGTCTATAGTCTAGTCTATAGTCTAGTCTATAGTCTAGTCTATAGTCTAGTCTATAGTCTAGTCTATAGTCTAGTCTATAGTCTAGTCTATAGTCTAGTCTATAGTCTAGTCTATAGTCTAGTCTATAGTCTAGTCTATAGTCTAGTCTATAGTCTAGTCTATAGTCTAGTCTATAGTCTAGTCTATAGTCTAGTCTATAGTCTAGTCTATAGTCTAGTCTATAGTCTAGTCTATAGTCTACAGTCTAGTAAATAGTCTAGTCTATAGTCTAGTCTATAGTCTAGTCTATAGTCTACTATAATTTAGTCTATAGTCTACTATAGACTAGTCTATAGTCTAGTGTATAGTTAGTCTATAGTCTAGTCTATAGTCTAGTCTATAGTCTAGTCTATAGTCTAGTCTATAGTCTAGTCTATAGTCTAGTCTATAGTCTAGTCTATGTTAGTCTATAGTCTAGTCTATAGTCTAGTCTATAGCTATCTATAGTCTAGTCTATAGTCTAGTCTATAGTCTAGTCTATAGTCTAGTCTATAGTCTAGTCTATAGTCTAGTCTATAGTCTAGTCTATAGTCTAGTCTATAGTCTAGTCTATAGTCTAGTCTATAGTCTAGTCTAAGTCTAGTCTATAGTCTAGTCTATAGTCTACAGTCTAGTCCATAGTCTAGTCTATAGTCTAGTCTATAGTCTAGTCTAGTCTAGTCTAGTCTAGTCTAGTCTAGTCTAGTCTAGTCTAGTCTAGTCTAGTCTAGTCTAGTCTAGTCTAGTCTAGTCTAGTCTAGTCTAGTCTATATTCTAGTCTATATTCTAGTCTATATTCTAGTCTAGTCTAGTCTATAGTCTAGTCCATAGTCTAGTCTATGGTCTAGTCCATAGTCTAGTCTATAGTCTAGTCTATAGTCTAGTCTAGTCTAGTCTATATTCTAGTCTATATTCTAGTCTAGTCTAGTCTAGTCTAGTCTAGTCTAGTCTAGTTTAGTCTATAGTCTAGTCTAGTCTATAGTCTAGTCTATAGTCTAGTCTATCTAGTCTATAGTCTAGTCTATAGTCTAGTCTATAGTCTAGTCTATAGTCTAGTCTATAGTTTGGTCTAGTCTATAGTTTAGTCTAGTCTATAGTCTAGTCTCTAGTCTAGTCTATAGTCTAGTCTATAGTCTAGTCTATAGTCTAGTCTATAGTCTAGTCTATAGTCTAGTCTATAGTCTAGTCTATAGTCTAGTCTATAGTCTAGGTCTATAGTCTAGTCTATAGTCTAGTCTATAGTCTAGTCTATAGTCTAGTCCTATAGTCTAGTCTATAGTCTAGTCTATAGTCTAGTCTATAGTCTAGTCTATAGTCTAGTCTATAGTCTAGTCTATAGTCTATAGTCGTATAGTCAGTCTATAGTCTAGTCTATAGTCTAGTCTATAGTCTAGTCTATAGTCTAGTCTATAGTCTAGTCTATAGTCTAGTCTATAGTCTAGTCTATAGTCTAGGTCTATAGTATAGTCATAGTCTAGTCTATAGTCTAGTCTATAGTCTAGTCTATAGTCTAGTCATAGTCTAGTCTATAGTCTAGTCTATAGTCTAGTCTATAGTCTAGTCTATAGTCTAGTCTATAGTCTAGTCTATAGTCTAGTCTATAGTCTAGTCTATAGTCTAGTCTATAGTCTAGTCTATAGTCTAGTCTATAGTCTAGTCTATAGTCTAGTCTATAGTCTAGTCTATAGTCTAGTCTATAGTCTAGTCTATAGTCTAGTCTATAGTCTAGTCTATAGTCTAGTCTATAGTCTAGTCTATAGTCTAGTCTATAGTCTAGTCTATAGTCTAGTCTATAGTCTAGTCTATAGTCTAGTCTATAGTCTAGTCTATAGTCTAGTCTATAGTCTAGTCTATAGTCTAGTCTATAGTCTAGTCTATAGTCTAGTCTATAGTCTAGTCTATAGTCTAGTCTATAGTCTAGTCTATAGTCTAGTCTATAGTCTAGTCTATAGTCTAGTCTATAGTCTAGTCTATAGTCTAGTCTATAGTCTAGTCTATAGTCTAGTCTATAGTCTAGTCTAGTCTAGTCTATAGTCTAGTCTATAGTCTAGTCTATAGTCTAGTCTAGTCTAGTAGTCTAGTCTATAGTCTAGTCTATAGTCTAGTCTATAGTCTAGTCTATAGTCTAGTCTATAGTCTAGTCTATAGTCTAGTCTATAGTCTAGTCTATAGTCTAGTCCTATAGTCTAGTCTATAGTCTAGTCTATAGGTCTAGTCTATAGTCTAGTCTATAGTCTAGTCTATAGTCTAGTCTATAGTCTAGTCTATAGTCTAGTCTATAGTCTAGTCTATAGTCTAGTCTATAGTCTAGTCTATAGTCTAGTCTATAGTCTAGTCTATAGTCTAGTCTATAGTCTAGTCTATAGTCTAGTCTATAGTCTAGTCTATAGTCTAGTCTATAGTCTAGTCTATAGTCTAGTCTATAGTCTAGTCTATAGTCTAGTCTATAGTCTAGTCTATAGTCTAGTCTATAGTCTAGTCTATAGTCTAGTCTATAGTCTAGTCTATAGTCTAGTCTATAGTCTAGTCTATAGTCTAGTTATAGTCTAGTCTATAGTCTAGTCTATAGTCTAGGTCTATAGTCTAGTCTATAGTCTAGTCTAGTCTATAGTCTAGTCTATAGTCTAGTCTATAGTCTAGTCTATAGTCTAGTCTATAGTCTAGTCTATAGTCTAGTCTATAGTCTAGTCTATAGTCTAGTCTATAGTCTAGTCTATAGTCTAGTCTATAGTCTAGTCTATAGTCTAGTCTATAGTCTAGTCTATAGTCTAGTCTATAGTCTAGTCTATAGTCTAGTCTATAGTCTAGTCTATAGTCTAGTCTATAGTCTAGTCTATAGTCTAGTCTATAGTCTAGTCTATAGTCTAGTCTATAGTCTAGTCTATAGTCTAGTCTATAGTCTAATCTAGTCTAGTCTATAGTCTAGTCTATAGTCTAGTCTATAGTCTAGTCTATAGTCTAGTCTATAGTCTAGTCTATAGTCTAGTCTAGTCTAGTCTATAGTCTAGTCTATAGTCTAGTCTATAGTCTAGTCTATAGTCTAGTCTATAGTCTAGTCTATAGTCTAGTCTATAGTCTAGTCTATAGTCTAGTCTATAGTCTAGTCTATAGTCTAGTCTATAGTCTAGTCTATAGTCTAGTCTATAGTCTAGTCTATAGTCTAGTCTATAGTCTAGTCTATAGTCTAGTCTATAGTCTAGTCTATAGTCTAGTCTATAGTCTAGTCTATAGTCTAGTCTATAGTCTAGTCTATAGTCTAGTCTATAGTCTAGTCTATAGTCTAGTCTATAGTCTAGTCTATAGTCTAGTCTATAGTCTAGTCTATAGTCTAGTTATAGTCTAGTCTATAGTCTAGTCTATAGTCTAGTCTATAGTCTAGTCTATAGTCTAGTCTAGTCTAGTCTATAGTCTAGTCTATAGTCTAGTCTATAGTCTAGTTTATAGTCTATAGTCTAGTCTATAGTCTAGTCTATAGTCTAGTCTATAGTCTAGTCTATAGTCTAGTCTATATAGTCTATAGTCTAGTCTATAGTCTAGTCTATAGTCCAGTCTATAGTCTAGTCTATAGTCTAGTCTATAGTCTAGTCTATAGTCTAGTCTATAGTCTAGCCTATAGTCTAGTCTATAGTTTAGTCTATAGTCTAGTCTATAGTCTAGTCTATAGTCTAGTCTATAGTCTAGTCTATAGTCTAGTCGATAGTCTTGTCTATATTCTAGTGAATCGTCTAATCTATAATCTAGTCGATAGTCTAATCTATAATCTAGTCTATAGTCTTGTCATAGTCTATTCTATAGTCTAATCGAAAGTCTAGTCTAGTTTATAATTTAGTCTATAGTCTAGTCTATATGTAGTCTGGTCTCAAGGAAATTTTACCGATTTGATCATGATGGATGCAAGGATTAAAATTTTAAAAAAAAACTAAGGATAAGTTTTAATTTTTAAAAATTGGAATTAAGCTAAATCATTGCTAGATGCAAAACCAAATGGCCAACACTAGTGTGTTAAACAACATGTTGACTGGAATCTCTTGGAAATAACAACAAAGTAAAACTCTTTTTTGTAAGTTTATTTACCGCTCAATTCTTAAAAATTTGAGTAAACGAAACAAACTGAGCATGACTGGTCGAAATTAAAGAAATGAAACGAAGCAAAACGTTAACACTTTGCATTGCCTTGAGTTGAGACGAGACTTCAGTTCGTTTCGATTTGCCGTGGCCGATGGTTGGGTGTTTTAAATTGTTCACATAACTAGTGAACAAATAAAGAAAAAAGTCTATTATAATATGAAAACAAAATTAATAGAAATTAAAAAAAAAAATAGTTTCTAAAACAAAACGAAAAAAAAAATATATAAAAAACGCAATTAATCAAGCATATCAATTAACTAGCATAATACTAAACGAAATACATAATAACTAACGAAAAAGCAAATAAAATAAGAAAACAAAATCAGGATACGGTTGAAAGAACTTCAAAACGGATTTGGCATAAATTAATTGAAATTGCGTAAAGAGGAAGGGAAATAAGAAAATATATGTGTGTGTGTATAGAACACAAGTTAAAGAGTGCGTTTGTGTGTTTTATTGGAGTGTTACTATGATGAATATTAAAGAATATGAGAAAAAAGTGGTTGTATTTAATTACCGTTACCAGGTCAATCAAAGGCGATATTACAAAATATAAAAAAAAATAAAGTAAACAACAAAAACAACAAAACAAGAATTTCCATTTAATTAACAAAACACGCATATTTAACAAAACAAAATTGTTATATTAACACACATATCATTGAATGTAAAAATTTAATTGAATAAAAAGCAAATCTAACAAAAATCTGCTCAAATTAATAAGAGAAAAAATGTAGTTAATAAAAATATGTAAAATGTAATGAAAGAAATTAATAAAAAGAAAATTTTATAAAACAAAGTTTTAAAAATGTATAAGAAAGTGCATTAAAACACAATTTGCATACAACTGGCATAAATTAAGCAAAAAAAGGAGAAAAAAATTAAGAAAAATAAAAAAAGAAGAAAATTGTTGATGAAAAAGTTTTTATTGCCATTAAGAGATTATAGTTAAAAAAAAAAACAACAATAACAAACAAAATTAAAGTAAAAAAACAAAGAATAAAACACAAAAATGACAAAACTTCTGGAAATGACATTTTTAATTCATCTGCTAGATTTGCATTTAACACCGACTGTGTTCTCGTCCTCATCGTCGTCATCGTCACATTACGGTCGTGCTCAGAAAGTTAAACACTATGCTGGTGGCACTACCTACCATCATGCCACAGATGTTGGGGCAACTTCTCATCCCACCGATGCACTGGCTGCACACTCTAATAATGGACGTCAGCGTAAATTGGAACATGTGGATAATGTTAGCAGTAATCTTTATGCCATGATTGATAATCCCTCCATATCGGAGGAATATTTGGATCCCTTTAATGATCCTTTGCAACAGTCCGCGGACAATACATTGATTATTAATCATCAACAGATGAGTACGTGTCAGACAGTTTGTGCCTGCAAGTGGAAAGGTGGCAAACAGACGGTGGAATGTATTGATCGTTTGCTTACTCGCATACCCGATAATATAGATCCCTCTACCCAGGTATTGGATATGTCGGGCAATAGACTGCAGACTCTGCTTAATGAGCAATTTGTTCGCGCAAATCTTTTGAATTTACAAAAACTGTATTTGCGCAATTGTCGCATAGAACACATTGAACCGCAAACCTTTAAGGGTCTTACAAATCTGGTGGAATTAGATTTGTCACAGAATCTTTTAAACTCAATACCCTCCATGGCGCTTAGCTATATTTCTTCCTTAAGAGACTTGACCATAGCTTCCAATCGTATACAAAAGGTGGAACCCAATGCTTTTATTGACACCCCAGCTCTGCACAAATTGGATTTATCTCATTGCGATATACAGCAAATAGCTCCGCAGGCTTTTGAGGGTTTAGAGGGTCTAACACTGTTGCGTTTGAATGGCAATAAGTTAAGTGAATTGGTGGCCAAGACCATTGAAACTTTGAGCCGTTTGCATGGCATTGAATTACACGACAATCCCTGGATGTGTGATTGTCGTTTGCGTGAGGCCAAGTTGTGGCTTATGCAAAAGAATATACCCTATCCGGTGGCTCCAGTATGTGCGGGTGGACCCGAACGTGTTTTAGATCAAACTTTTGCCGAACTCAGTATAGATGATTTTGCCTGTAAACCAGAGCTTTTGCCCTCCAATCATTATGTGGAAGCTACTATGGGCGAGAATGCCTCGATATTGTGTCGCGCCAAAGCTATACCAGCGCCTACTGTTAATTGGTATTGGAATGGTCGTTTGTTAACCAATAATACAGCCTTTAGTTCCCATCAACGTTTGCATATATTCGAACATGGTGGTTTTGAGAAGACTTCACGTTTAGTGCTGACCAATGCCCAGGAAATCGATTCCAGTGAGTTCTTTTGTGTTTCGGAAAATCGTGCCGGTTCCACGGAGGCCAATTTTACATTGCATGTTAAAATGCGTGCGGCCGGCATGGCTTCTCTAGGCAGTGGCCAAATAGTGGGCTTAAGCGCTGCCTTGGTGGTGCTGATATTATTTGTTTTACTATTTGTTTCCTTTCTACTAATGCGTCTAAAGCGAGAACCTTATAATGCTAGTAAAACACCCAATCATATGGAGGTTATTACCAGCATTAACCAGCAGAATATGATTATCAATAAAACCCAGGCCAATGGCACGGTTAATAATACCAATTCTTCCCTGGGGGAGGTGAAAATAAGCGACGAAACCATACATTTAGATAGTGCGGGTACGGAAAATGCCAATCCTTTGCAGAAACCGCCACGTTTAACGGATATGACTTATGCCACCAGTAGTTATGATAAAGCCGGCAGTGTTTTGGTAACAGCGCCCTGTTTCATTTCACCTACCGCCTCTGCGGGCAATAATCCAGATTTGATTAATGACACTAAACGTTATGAGGGAGAAGAGTTTTCCGATTTGAAAATACCACCCATACTAACAAAAGCCTTGGCTACCGATCTGGCCAGCTTGACTACCAATGGCGAATATAAAAGAGCGGGCGGCTGTGATTCTTTATATCCCTCGGGTCTGTGGGAGGATATAACATCCGTGAACTGTACTTCCTCGGCAGATGATTTGTTCCTAAGACGTTATTCCGATAAGACACCCATAATGGATGCCACACAACTGTACGACATGCATGATGGCAGCACTAGTAATGATAATTTCAGTAAAACCTTTCCACGCACCAGCTTTAATCACAATCTGCAGTCGAATGATGGCAGTTGTAATATAAATACCGAATCTACTGCCTCTACCACTACCACTAATCTTTCGAATTCTGGTTCGGGCATAGTAATGGGTGGTTATCCCAATGATTATGGCTTGCCGGTGGTGCCTGGAGCCGAACTGCAGCTTAATCATCATATGCAAATGAATTCTTTGCAAAAACAACTTTTAGGCGGTACTTTGGGACGAACTAGTGTTAGTAATCCTTTAAGTAGGGCCACCCTAATGTCCAGCAATAATGGCAATGGCAGCAGTAGTAGTCCACCGTTTACCAGTCGAACGTTGCCAAGGCAAAAACCCACTACCAGCTATGAAGCCAATAGTTCACGCAGCTCACCGGTACACAATAATGTCTTAGTAAATCCAGCCTCGATCAATGCCAAAACGATACGTGTGTGGCAGAAAGGAGGAGTACCCGTTCTACCACCTGTTACCGCCATCAAAAGAGCCTTAATTAGCACGAGTCGTAGTTCACCCGATGAGGGCTATCAAGAGGGCTGTGGCACCGATGTGTAAACTATTAAAAAAAACTAAAAAAAACTCTATAACTCAAAACTTTCCTACTGTACAAGTTAAAAAACAAAAAAAAAAAAAAAAAAAACAAATAATACAAATTACGCTTTGTAAATGAAGAAGTTAGATGAATGTTTTACGCAGCATCTCATTTTGCGCCTGACTGAATTTAGTTGCATCTATACTTCATCATCGTTAACGATACTTGTATAAGCAATAATCAACTCTAAACTTAAGTATTATTGTCATCTTCATCATTAACAACATCATCATCATCATTATTAACATCATTGACATTTCATCTAAGAAGAAAAGAAGAAAAAAAAACCAAAACTCATTAATGGATTGTGGACTGACTGAAAGTTATAAATTTAAAAAATTAATGTTTAAAAATTTGAAAACAAACAAACAGATACGCTCATGTTGCGTGTCAACAGGATTGTGATAGTGTATGCGTAAATAGATAATAATTTTTGTATAAAAATATATAAATAAAAATTATAATAAAAAAAATTTAAATTAAAAAAAAAAGAAATGAATTAATTACCTTAAATTAAAACAACATTAGGATAAATAACAACAATAATTGCAGCAAAACAAATTATGTTTATTTTTTTTTAAATAAATTAAAAAAAAAAATTACAGCTACACCCCCCTCTTCCCTACTCTCCCCATAACACCCACAAACTATGTAAAACAAAATTATTAAGGAAATTATGCAAAAATGTTTAAACTGTAACAAAAAAAGGTTAATTAATTCTACTTACATACATATGCACCTAAAATCGTATGTATGTATTTGTATAAAATAAATTTCTCTTAATTTTTGTAATTATATATTTGTAGCTAATAACTGCACATTATTATTAATATTATAAATATAAAATATTTAATTATGATTATAAGTTATAATGTAAATTATCTTCCAGTGCTAAAGAAGACACACACACACATACACTTACACTAGTAAACTAAAACTTAAAACTTGTTTTGAAACAAATGTTCAACAAATTTTCTTAAGAAAAACATTAACATATCACCTACACTTATAAACAAAACATATCACTCACATATACATACTTACATACATACATATAAACAAGTTACCCAACAGTTTAAATTTACATATGTATGTATATGTACATTGTTTACCCTTTAAGCTACCAACAAGGCTTTAACTAACACTAAACCCAAGGTTCAATTGCAGCTAAAGTGTTGATTAAGGGGGGTAAAAAGCTTCTAAACTAAAAAAGTTACATCAAAAATGTTACACTCAACGTTGTTTTTTCAAAATATAAGCGGTTAGGTGTCTGGTACTTTTTTCGAAATTCGTTATTTTGGTACTTTTTTTCTTAAACCGTAAGCAAATATGGAAATAATATCTATATCACATTTGTGACCCATTGAAACATTACGAAAACAAGTTTGGTACTTTTGAGAAAATACGAACGTTTAAGGGTTTAAAAACGTACTTATTTTTGGTACATTTTTCATAAAATATTGTTTTCTAGTTATTGGTTTGTACGGCCCTAAATCAGCAATGCCCCGTTAGCATCCTTATCGGAATTCTTAAGACTGCCTCTATCCAGTTCTATAAGTTTTTTGGTAGCCCCCATATCAAGTTTTGGCCATAGGGGCCTTTGATACTTTGCAATTCAATCAACTATTCCAGAAGTGGTTTATGATGTCACGTGACAAATAAGTCACTATTTACCGTAGTGGCAGTTCGGAAGCCTGTATCATCTCAAGCTTTACTGCTGGGTTAATGACGCTACATTTGATAATGGTCCAAGTAGTTCTCGTTTCCACAATTGACAACTTTCACGGCCTCAACCCAGTCTGCACATCTTCCGAGCTACCCTAAAAGAAGGCGATTTCATCAATCAGCCTACTTTCAATTGATTGCCAGAAGTCGGTACTGATCCTCCAATCTGGATCATTCCGATCAATGATGCCACTTAAAGGCATATATACTGGTTTACTTCTTCACCCTCTTGCAGGATGAAGAAGCTTGATCATGCACAGATCTGGCTCTCTTAATTGTCTCCTTACGGGGACCTTTAGAGACCTCAGACTCTTTGAAGTGTTTGGTGACTTTGACACCACTGGTTTGGATGGTCAGTCACTACCAGAGCCCTTTCCCTTACTGACATTCTTGCAAAGATCAGTAGGAGTATGGGCCGGAAGTTTACCGTCCTCTTTAGCTTTCCTGGTGCCGTGGCCAACTTGCTAGGGTTTTTGGGAGGTAATTTGTTACTTTTATAAAGCGTACTTTTTGCACAAATGAATAGTACTTTTCATAAAAGCAGAATTTACAAGAATTTCAACAATCATGGTTCGCATGATGATATTTTTATATGACAGAACTTTTTGGTACTTTTTTGTTCCTTAACTGGTACTTTTTTAAATTACTTCTTAAAATTACGAAAAATAACCAAACATCTAACTTCAATATAATAATTGCAAGCTATAACCACCAACTGCATTACTTTGGTTTTGTAAAGTAACTAGTGTTTGTTAAAGCGAACACAGAAATCTATTTTAAAGCTTAAGAGTAAACTAAAAGTTGTTGTGTATTATGTAAGAGAAAAAAGCTCACCTTTAAACTTCCAACACTGCAGGGTTTTGTCAGATACCAAATTTTCCAAATATACACTAACAGTATACACCGTATGTAGGTTTGTATGTGTATTTCTGTAACAAAAATTCATCTGTTAAAATGTAATTCTATACAGCATTAGTAACAACATTCAGAACGAAGTACATTCATTTATTCATTCATTTATACATCCCATTCATAAAAAAATAAAAACAAAAGCAACAATACATTCATACATATGTACATACATATGTATGGACATTAGGGTGTTACGAACATAGAAGTTGCTGATGTTCCCATCTAAAATTGAAATTTAGTACTTTCTAAGATAACATTTCTAAATATCTTCTGTAGTGATCTCAATATTCCATGAGCTGGACAAAGGATAAAAAGGACCTTTTTGAGCTTTTTAGGATCTTTTCAATATTTCTTGGAAAGACGCTTTCAATGTAATTTCGAACAGTTTTCATAATAAAGCATTTAAGTTGACCTGTAGTTTGATTACAAGGTTTACAAGCCCTATTCGGGGGTTTAGTTGTATGGGGGATAGGTGAAATTATAGACCTATCTTAACCATTTTTAATAGGCTTCGTCCCTAGGACAATAGAAGATCTTGTACCAAATGAATTATCTTCGAAATTGCGACATGTAGTTTGATTACAAGGTTTGCCTGGCGGACGGACGGACATAGCTAAATCGACTAAGAATTCAGATTCTAAGCCGATACTTTAAGGTGGGTATAGGACCAATATTATTGTGCGTTACAAACATCAGTACAAACCCAATATACAATCCCCACTAAAGTGGTGTAGGGTATAATTATGAACTTAAAAGGCCTATTCGGCGGGTTCAGTTGTATGGGTGCTAGGTGAAATAATGGTCTGCTGTTAACCATTTTCAATAGGATTCGTTTTTGGTATAATAGAAGATCATGTGCCAAATTTCATAGAATTATCTTCAAAATTGCGACCAGTAGTTTGATTACAAGGTTTACATGGACGGATGGACGAAAAGACAGATAGACGGACATACAGACAGACAGACAGACGGACGGACGTAGCTAAATCGACTCAGAAAATTATTCTGTACTTTAAGGTGTGTATAGGACCAATATTATTGTGCGTTACAAACATCAGCACAAACCCTATATATCCTCTCCACTAAAGTAGTGTAGGATATAAAAAGTACCAAAAATAAGTACCAATAATAAATGACCGAATTCCCCAAAAGTACAAATCATATATTCGTAATTTTTCATTAAACTTCAAATGTGATTGAAATTTTACATTTATGTTCACAGGTTTAAAAGATACATGAGTTCCAAAAAAACTACCAAAATACAGTTTTTAGCCGTTTGCTACTAAAAAGAAACAAATTTCGAAATAGTACCAGACATCTATACGGTTTTTTTGCATAAACAATAATGAGGGTATAATATTTGTTGTATCTATTTTAGTTTAAGGGATAAGAGGTTATCGAATTTACCCGTTTTTACTTTTTTTAAACCTCCTTATGAGATTTTACATGATCAAAAGTACATCTACCTTAAAAAAAGTACCTTTTTATACTTTGACCCAGCTCATCAAATATTGACTCCCAAGAGAAAATTTTTGAGTAACAATATCTAAAAATGAACCCAGCTTACATTATGGTGGGGAAATATTTTTTCTCCCCACAAACCGAGCCACCCTAATATACATTTACTCAACAACATTTTCGTTATCCATGCATGACATTGTACAACTACAAATTTGTTTCTGTTTTTTAACTAAAGAAATTTATTTATTTCTTTTTATTTTTTTTTTAATTTTTTCGGGTTTTTGTTTTTGTTTTTTTATAAACCTCGCTCGCACAATAAAGTTTAATGTTTTAAATCAAACGTTTGAAGTTTATCAAACCGTAAACACATTGTAACTGACTTAATTTGTAGCCCAAGGTATGGAAGCGATGGATGATGGTTGTTGGTTGGGCATATATGAAAGTTTTTCTACTTTACAGCCTTAAAGTTTAGTTGTTTTTCTACTTATTTATTTGTTGTTGTCTTGTGTACTTTATTTATTTACTTATTTTTGTGTTTTAATCTAACATGTTTTTTACATTTATGGACAATTTCCCAACTAAGACAGACAGACGGACGGACAGACAGACAGACATACTATTTTCAAGAGTAAATACTTATAAACTTTTATTTAAGTTTTTCACTTTCTACCTTGAATGTATAAAATTTCGAAAAAAAAGTTTGCAAAACTTGCATACAGAAATGTGAATAATACAAGAGTCAAGCTTTTGGGGGTAAAAGGGGTAAAAACGGGTAAATTTGGTAACCTCATATATCCTAAACTAAAACAGATACAAGAAAAGTGTTACACTTATTGTTGTTTATTCAAAAAATAAGTGAACTGGTGTCTGGTACTTTTTTGAAATTCAGTTCTTTTTAGTAGCAAACGGGTAAAAACTGTATTTTGGTACTTTTTTTTTTGAACTGAATTATATTTTAAACAAATAAACATAGAAGTCAAATTTCTAGCACATTCTTACCTTATTGAGAAATTACGACTATAAGTTTGGTACTTTTGGGAAATTCCAACATTTAGGGGAGAAAAAATCGTACTTATTTTTGGTACTTTTTCATAAAATATTATTTTCTTATTAATGGTTTGTACATATGAATAATTTTTAATAGTGGAAGCTATGTTGTTGTAATTTTTTTAATAAAATTTTTGTGTCATCATTAGGACAAGAAAAAGTACCAAAAGAGGACGTAAAAAAGGGAATTTTAAATTTATACCAACTCATTAAGTTTATATTTGTTTAAATATTACATTTTTACAGATTTAGTTACACTAAATTGTGTGCTTTTTGGAACATGGATTCTAAGTCCTACTTAGGACCAAATTCAGGCTTCAAAGTAAACGGATAAAAACTGTATTTTGGTACTTATTTGTGGCCCTCATGTATCTTTTAAATTTTTGAACATGGAACTAAAATTTCTAGCACATTTGTAACTTATTGAACGATTATCAATACAAGTTTGGTACTTTTTCAAAATTCCAACATTTAAGGGATAAAAAAACGTACTTATTTATGGTACTTTTTTATAAAATATTATTTTTTATTTGTTGGTTTGTATATATGTATATTTTGTTAATAGGCTCCCACTACGATATTGTAATTTTTGGAAGGAAATGTTTATTGCATTACTAGGGAGAAAAAAAGTACCAAAATAGGACGTAAAAAAGGGAATTTTAAATGTATTCCAATTCATTGAGCTTATATTTGTTTAAATTTTTACATTTTTACAGATTTAGTTACACTAAATGGTGTGCTTTTTGAAACATAGATTCCAAGCCCTACTTAGGACCAAATTCAGGTTTAGTAGTAAACGGGTAAAAACTGTATTTTGGTACTTTTTTTGTGGGACTCATGTATCTTTTAAACTTTTGAACATGGAACTAAAATTTCTAGCACATTTGTAACTTATTGAATGATTATCAGTACAAGTTTGGTACTTTTGGTACTTTCCAACATTTAAGGGATAAAAAACGTACTTATTTATGGTACTTTTTTATAACATATAGTTCTCTATTTATTGGTTTGTACATATAAATATTTATAAAAACGCTCTTACCATGATGTTGTAATTTTTGGCAGAAAATTGTTATTGTATCGCTAGGGAGAAAAAAAGTACCAAAAGGGGTCGTAAAAATGGAAATTTTTATGTTATTCCAACTCTTTGAGCCAATTTTGATTAAACTTTACAGTTTAACAGATTAGTTGCACTAAATGGTTTGTTTTTTGAAACTCGGATTTCAAGCTTTACTTAGTACCAAATTTGGGTGAATAATTTGGTACTTTTTTTAAAAGGTACTTTTTGTACAAATGAAAAGTACTTTTTACAAAAACAGAGTTTACAAAAATTATAATTAACTTGTTGCTGTTTGATTGAAAATATATATGAAGGAGCATTTTGGTACTTTTTTTGTTCTTTAACTGGTACTTTTAAAAATTGTCTGTAATTTTGCACCTAGACATGTTTTAACAATTTGCTGACAAAAAAAGAGATTTTTTAAAAGAGTAGTTATGGACCCTAACCTGACTTGAGTTTTGCTGGTTATTGGAGAGATAAAAGATCATTTAACATATTTATGAGCTCAAAAGCCCTTTTCGGTAGATACGGTTGTATGGGGGCTAGGCGAAATAATGGACCGATTTTAACCATTTTCAATAGGCTTCGTTCTTGGCTCAAAGGAAGAGTATGTGCCAAATTTTATCAAATTATATTGAAAATTGCGACAAAGTTTACATGGACAGACAGACAGACAGACAGATGGACGGACGGACGGACAGACAGACATAGCTAAATCATCTCAGAAAGTGATTCTGAGCCGTGTTTTATACTTAACTGGATTTTCAAAGAACTCATAAATTAGCCATAATCTTCATATGCTTGTCTACTCTATTTTTAACTCCTGTCAAATGAAATTGTATCAAAAGTATTAAATACCCCGTCGTGTAATTTGTTGTGATTAAGGAATTTTAATTATTTTAAATTTGACATTATATTGATGTTTTTTTTTTCATTATTAGCGGCATAAAAAGAAGAAAGGATTTTCTCTACAAAACTTTTAACACTGACATTTAACAAAGTTTATATAAAAGAATTTTCCTATATACTTTATTTAAGCAACCTTTATTAACTTTAATAAACCATTATGTCTGAAGTATACCAACGCTATTAATAAACTTTTAATTGGATTATTAAATTCGAGGAAAAATATTAGCGAAATATGGTAAAAAAAAGAAACAATGCAAGGAAATTTAAAAAAAAAAAAAACTAATTTAAACCATTAAAATAGAGTTTAGCTAAAACTAGTATAGCAAAAACATGTATCAAGTTAATATATGCAAAAAATGCTAACTCAAAAAAGACTAGATTTCAAGAGAGTAAAAAGAAAAGTAATTAATTTGTATGAACAAAAGAAACACTTGCCATTAAAAAAATCTCACTTTAAACCAAAATTAAGTTAGCACTTTTTGAATATAGGACATCGTTATATAATTTAAGAACACATTTTTTAGATCACAAGTATTCATATTCCCTTAAAGTGTTAAAAAAAAACACTTAGCTAATTACTTTAAGCTTCTCAGGTAATTCACCTTCAGTCATACTAGCACAAAACTCTTTCAACTGTCAAAACGAAACTTGACATTTATAATGTCAAAATTTTATTTTTTTCTTCTACATTTTGTTTATAATTAACCAGAAATGTCATATTTCAGACAGACAACATTCAGAAAAAAGTTGCTAGTGATTTATAAATCTTAATTAAGAAATATTTTCATTGATAAATAATTAACAACAACTACGAGGACAACAACAACAAAAACAATGTGAAATATTTATGCAATTAACTAACGCTTCAGTAGCTTTAACCAGTTGGGGTTAAAACATACTGTAACATACATTATTTAGGGTTAATTAATGAAATTATTATATATTTAATAAAAATTCAATTCATACATTCTCATATATGTGTTATTAGGGTGGTACACTTTTGTGGGGTGAAACATTAAGGTCATTAAGCTCAAAATTTTGGTTATATATTAACAGTAGTTACATTTTTGATTATGTAGATCCACTAAGATGGGATTTTTGGAAATTTGAAC